TTGTTGTGAAGCCACTCATCCATTTTAGACATGGCTAAATCGGCCCGGCCCGGGACTACAGGAGGACCAGAACTAGGACCGGCCCGGAAATTCAAAAGTTTGACCTTTTTTACCGTTGACCAACGGTCATATGACTGTTTTTTTTAATTTGACCCTTTTTGTCATTTTGGCCTCTTAAACACTATATATATATATATATATATATATATATATATATATATATATATTGTTCTGGTGTATTGGGTAAGATACCAACTTACAAAACGTCAAAAAAAACGTCCACAATATCGCTATATTTTGTGACTTCGGCTCGTATTTATTTCTCGCTTCCATTTCCCAATTCTCATTTATTTCTCTCTTTGCCTTCCAAAATGGTCGGTGAACATGATGCATCAAACAAACAAGTTTGCCAAGTTCTCTCCGAGCACATACGAAAGTCCGAGATTTGAAATGCATACAACTTGGTAATCCTCACGAATGGGAAAAGAAAGACGCATTACAAAATGTGTCAAGCTCTCCTTACGGAGGAAGGAAATTCAACTTTAAGGCAGCACACCGAAAAAACATGCCCGTGGTTGAGGTCAGAGGGACGATTCAAGCCAACCGATACTAACAATCAAGGTCAAATATGGACGTTTGATGCCGCATTGAACCGATAAAAGACAACACAATGTGTCATTCAAGTCGGGTTGCTGTTTGGACATTTCGACAACCCTCACACTACGATGTTGATCCAAAAAAACATTACAACCACGATACAAGCTGGTAAGTCATCAAATTCTTAGACGTGATACAATTAAAATGTATAAAATATGTCGAAATAAATGAAACAAAGGTTTTCTCTTTTACCTAACAATATTTCTTTGACGTGTGATGTATGGAGCGCACCACACGAATTGTTGGTTTCTTATATATGCATACCGGCACATTGGATTGAGCCGTAATCGTGGCAATTATTCAAACGTGCAATCAAACTTGAACCGCTTGGTGTGCCACATTTGGGTGGACACCAATTTCAATTATTTAAAAAATGTCTTGCATTTTGTAATATATTTTCTAAAATAATTAGCATTTCATTTGATAACACTAGTAAAAATAATCTATCTGTGGAAAAATTAAAGTGTCATTTGACCCCTAATTTAAACGGTAAATTATTTCATATACGTTGTGCACACATAATAAATTTAGTCTTTCAAGACGGTTTAAATACTTGTAAACCCGTAATAGATAAGTTTAGACTTATGTTACGCGAATTTTCACAAACGAGTAAGAAAATGCATGCAGAATATAAAAATATTGCAAAGACGTTGGTTTTAAAGCTTTGGCACCGAGTTTTGATATGCCGTAAGATGGAATTTAACCTATTTTATAATTGAAAATTTGCTAAAACAAAAAAAATATTTTTTTTTCATTCTATAAACACCATTACCTGCAAAATTCTATTGGGAATCTTGATTGAACCGTGGTTGAAGGATTATACGATATTTTTTGGGTGATTTTAAAAATGCGATAACTCTTTTATCCAATATTATTATCCAACAAGCCCTTTGCTTTTAAATCGAATGTATATTTTTGGCAAGTAAGATTATACAATACGAAAACCATCGCGATTGGGAAAGGTTGATGAATTCAATGAAAAAGAAATTGTTAAAATATTTTATGAGCATCTCATTTGTTTTTCTTTGTGCCGCAACGTTAAACCCATATTTAAATGTTATCGTTGTAGAAAGTTTTAATTACATAAATATGTGTGACTTCTGGTTTAGATATGGCTATGAATATTCTTTTTCAACGAAACAAAGACATTTGTTTAATAATAATTTTCAAGATTTATTTGATCATTATAACATTTTTCTAGGGGAGAAAGCCAACAAGAAAGCCCTTCAAGTCATTTATTTATGGGTAATTTATAACGATTTGGGTGAATTAAATATGTATGTGCATACTAACTTTGTGGCTGCATACCCCGCAATGACGTTGAAGATTTTGAAATATATTTGATCTATTAGATTTTTGGAAATAAAAGTAACCTCAATTCCCGGTTTTGCATGCACGGCCCGTGATATACTAACAATCCAAGTCAGTACCGTAGGTTCGGAGTCTGTTTTTTCTCTTAGTGGCAAGATTATTTTGGTACGACGGACAAGACTAAGCCTGGAGTCCGTAGAGTGTTGCATATGTTTGAAGGATTACTTGGATAACATAGATAAAATTCAACACACGACATCATTAGAGGTGGAAATTGAAGAGGTGGAAGAACACTTGATCGCCATGGGACTAAGTACGCCACCAACTACCGATACTGACGACACTTACTCATAATATAACGATGATGAGAAACTTGACATTGATAATCTTGATGACGAAGAGGCTATTAGAATAATTCAAGCCAAAACTCTTCAAATCAATCCGACATAGGATTCCTATGATGAATAAGTGTATTTTTGAATAGCTGAATATTTGAATGTAATTTTAAATTATTTACTAAATCAAAATTATAATAAAATATATTTTTAAAGTGTATCTAAGTGACCACATTATATATCTTAAAGTGTATTATTGAAAATCTCTCAAAAAAATCCATTTTTTTGTAGGACCGATTTGGGCCTGGAAAGGGGACCTGTTACCCTAACCGGTTACAATAAAGTTTAACCGGGCCTAACCATTTTGACGAGACCGGAACCGGCCCGACAGAACACTATTTTGGCCCAAGACCCGCTTCGACCCACCCTTGTCCGGAACCGGTTTTTGGCCATGTCTACCGATGACACTTACTCACAATATGATAACGATAAAGAACTCGACTTTGATGACCAAGAGGCTATTGGAAGAATTCAAGCCACCTGAACTCTTCAAATCAATTCGTCATGGGATACCGAAGACCCTAACCAGTTACAATAAAGCTTAACCGCGCCTAACCATTTTCGACGGGACCGGGATCGGTTACACCGGACGGGTCCGGCAGAACATAATTTCTGCCCGGGACCGATTTTTGGCCATGTCTAATCCATTTGTGGACCAACAAATATTTAAAACCATGTGTTGCTTACTGAGGACATTCTTTAGGGGCGATAAGAGTAATATAGATGACAATTGCATGTCCATGTATAATCCAATCCAATCCAATTGCAGATTGTGTATTAGTCCATGGAAGGACCCATCACTTCGAATCAAAAGTAATTAGGTACCCAAATTATATATAAAAACTCAAATACCATATGACAAAGACTCAATTTGGTGGCAACAAAATGGAGTCGCTAACAAAAAAAAATGGTCATCTGACACGATCCTTTCTGCATCTACTAAAATGTGTCCAAATCTTGTTACAACTGCCGTAGCATCAATGATTTCAAAATCCTTTTACAACCTACATTATCTTGTTCCTCGCATATTTGGGTATGAAGCATTTGTTCATGTTCATAGTGAAACCGAGGAAAATTAGATCCCAAGACATTAAAGTGTGTTTGTGAGATATTCTTCAACTTAAAAGGCTCAAAAAATAGTTTTATGGAACTATAGAATCTCTCAAGCTCAGGAACTATAGAATCTCTCRGGAGTTGAATAAACTCTTTTATGCTAGTGGAATTGGGAAGTCCGTACTCCACATTCTAGCTTCATCCTTGGTTATGTCACACCTTTCATGAACCAGAGTCCTATTTCACCATCCCTAACTTCACCCCCTCCCCCTGGGGCCGGGGGATGAGAGAGAGACTTTAATACGGTTTGCAATTACCATCATCATCTCTTCTTGTGTCAAAACAACATAGCCCTATTAAAGTGCCCCCACCCAGTCCACCAAATAATCCAACTCCTAAATCTCCTGCAAATACAACCAATTTGATAATGCAAATCCTAAAGTGATATAATTACGGAAAACAACCTTGTGGCTCTGGTATGCATTTTTTATAACATCCTTGGTCCTTATGCCTTCTGTTAACCCAGGGGCATTTAGGTCATTTGACCTAGTTTCTTTAATTTCTAATTATATGTGTGTGTGTGTGTATATATAGAGAGAGAGAGGTGGTTTCCTTTACAAACCCAACCATTAATACAAACCATATAAACCAATCTCAACCGTTCATCTAGTCTAATGAATATCTTGATTGTTTCCTAATACAGTGTTAAGCATAATAAATGAACTCTTATAATCTTCCATAAATATCCAAATCATAATAAATAAACTCTCATCATTTCTGTAAATATCTCAGTTAATTGGTTTGTATGGTTTCTATCAATGGTTTGGGTTTGTAAATATATATATATATATATATATATATATATATATATAGAGAGAGAGAGAGAGAGAGAGGGAGAAGAGAGATCATGCAAACCTCCTAATTTATACAAACCAAACAATTGTGAGATATATGGAAGATTCATTCTTCCATTACGTGTGCAAGTCCTTCTGTTCTTTTTCGCATTTGTTATTTTAGCATAAATATTTTTGGTTCTTAAAAAGAAACAGTTCGAGAAGGTTCAATTGTCCGAAATGAATTTCTAGACTCGCGGATTTATCGACATCAAGTCATTATGAATTTATGATCAACAATTTAGATTAGGAGACAATCGAGATATTTGTAGAACCATATATTCATTAGCCTATATGGATGGTTGAGATTGGTTTCTATGGTTTGTACGAAATATGAGGTTCGTAAATGATCGGGACGTTATATACATATATAAAATACACACCGGTCAAGCAAACCCCCACCCACGTCTTTGCTCGTCTTCGGCACCGGCCACCATCCCCTTCCCCCACAATGACCCCGCCTTTCCCTTCCCCGGTGAAACCCTCCATCATGACCCCTCCTTCCCCTCACAATACACACACAGAGCACACATCTCAGGCCCCATTTCAGACACACACAGCACACATCTCTTATGAAATGCATACGACAGACTGTTTTTCGTAATTATTTCTCTACGGACTTGAGACGTTATAACATGTAAAGTACAGGGACCAAGCATGTAATTTGCTCATAAATATATTTCATGACATGGTGCAAATAGTAATTTTATTGGACAGTACACGGGCCAAATGAATACCTTTTTCACCTTTTATGTAATTTCTATCTGTTGTGTATTGATGTTGCTTCAAGAATGTTACAGTTACAAAAGTAAGCTCACCTTATCGAGCACTATCTCAATGGTATCATCAGCCAGTTTCAGCTGAGACTCGCATAAAAGTCCGATCAACATTTTCTTAACCTACAAAAACGACACACAATGAACATGTTATGATCAATAAGGAAGATGTTCAAATCCCACACATGCCATAATAATAATAGAAAACGAAAAACCATACACACTATTTACGTTCAACAATTTGCCTTAAATCCATGATCATTGCTAGAGATCCTTATCATATAATCAGTGCAGTGAGTAAATAAATAGAAATTGAAAACTTCCCAAAAATGGAAATGTAGCATTTTCATAAGACAAAAGAAGTATATCAGGAAGGCTCTATAATGTTTGGAAATAAACATGCAAAAGCATACAGCATAGAACTAGCACAGATGTACCTCCTGACTCTCTATGAATCCTGTTCCATCCGTAACATTAAGTGCTCGAACAAAGTCACTGAAAGCAATAACTCCCTTCTGCTTGACATTAAACAGATCAAATATCTGCATAAGAATTGCACTCAACGAAGAACCATTCCAAATTCGGTTTGCAAGCAAACCAAGCTGGTCCTGACCTCCAAGAACAAACAATGCGTTATAAAACCGATCAAGCAGAGTTAAAACTATGAACCCTTAACCATAAAAAGGCATGTTAGCCGGTAACCTCCAAATGCACCAAAACCGATCTAGCTAAGATGGAGTTGTTAGAGATACAATAACATCTGTAACTCAGAGCCTGGGAAACAGGGTAGCATGTGTTAACAAAAAGGTTACAGTTCAAGAATTCCCAAAATCCAGATTAACACTAAGCTCAAACTAACTGCTACATATGTGACTAAGCTCGGTTTTCCCCACAAAAGACCATCCTAACTATATATACACTAAAATGATCAGTTATTACTAGTACCATGGAAAGTAGCAAGAATGGGCGGAGCAAGTTGCTATCCTGGCCACTTCTCTTGCATACCATATCCGTTTCTGATACCTGTTATTGTTCAGTAACACAAGGAGGTCATTAAAACTGTTACGTCATTCTCCCTAAGATGGATTCAGTCATGTTGTAGACATTCACTCATACCATTGGGACAAATGTCAGAATTGCAGCCATACATATGAGATCCCAAGTATACAATCAACATGTTTTGTAGTACACGCAAATACTTTCTAATAATGAATAGTGTCTTCTTCACAGGTAATTGTACATTTTGAATGTCTGATGCCTATTACAAGTCTCAAACCTAAAGGGTACAAATGACCTGATGTGAGCATGGCTGCAAATATAAGATGAACGCATATCGAACCACTACTTGAAAGATCTATCCTTGCTTGCAGTTTAAAAATCCCAGAATGTAGAGTTCTCAATGGAGGTACAGGCTTTAGTTTTACAAGAAAATAAAGAAGACTAAGATGAACCCACTTGTATTACATCGGATAAGCTTTTAACATGCACAACAATGATTGTTATATCGTCTGTTCGATTCTCCTGCTCTAACCATAATTTGTATGATTCTCGGGTAATAGCACGACATGCATCCCGGGGATCTGCATACATGTTCACCTACACCAGGAAAAGCAATAGTTAAGAGAACAACATATAAAGATAAGATGAATAGAACAGAGCTGAAAATATCTAAAGATGAATCTAACAATCCTAAATTTGCATTAGATTTACATAAATCCTGTTCTATATATGTTCACAAAAACTTGCTTTTGTCATCAATACAAAATTTTGGCATTCCCTCCATCCCAAAAAATGCAACATCGCACTTAGTTTAAGGAGTCTTTAACCAGTAATCATATACCCAAAAGGCCCCCAGGGACTAAATTGAGAAAACTTTTTGCATCGAAATCAACGCCAAATTGATAGATGTGAGCAAGGATCTTACTAAAAAAAAGGAAAAGTTGTATTTTTCGAAGGACGGATAGTAAGTTTTATGTAGTTCCCGAGCATTCTCTTATGATGTCATTATCAACTGGTTTTTAAGACAGTCACTTTTCTCTTAAACTATGTTCGGTCAAATATTGCTATTTTCATTGGACAAAGAGAGTATTTGGTTTAGACTTGATGGGCTCATAGACGTTTGTTTTTTTTCCATTAAACCATGTATAGATTAAGCCACTTGCATGGATTAAAAAATTGCTGTTTGTTCTTATGTTGGATAACAGCCTGAAATCAAACTCAAATTCAACAATCTCTCTTGTTCTCAAATCTCTTTTGTAAGATCTGAACTGAATTGGGTTTGTCCCTATCTAAAAACACAGAAAGTGTGTGTGTGTGTGTGTGTGTATGAGCAAATGTAGAAGGGAAGAGCAGGTGAGCTTGAGTGGACGCAGGTTGCACCCGACAGTTGATGTTTGAAGGGGGCATGTATCAGCTAGTTGGTTTGATATTTGGTTTTGTTTGTGTTTTAAGTTCAAGGTTACTACGGTAATTTTTACAGACTGGGAAAGTGTATGGGCATGGAATTTGATTCAATGTAAATATTTACAGACGTGGAAGGTGTATGGCATGGAATTTGATTAACTTAGGTCCAGCAAGTGTGCAACTCCAAACCCCTGATCGTCATCACTACCAACGACCCTTCACTCAAATCGATTCGCCCCATCCAAATCCCTCAATTTCTCCACATGGTTCTCCAAAAATCCTTACAATATTGTCAAGCTAGGCATCCTAGCCTAAACCACTGCTGCCGTCTTCTTCCTCCGTAACATGGAGAACGACGAGAAGAGGTGAGTTTTGGTAGAGAGAGAGAAAGAGCAGAAGGAAATACGTGAGGAGAGAGTTTAAAGGGCAAAGGGGTGTTTTAGGAATACAAGTGACTGAATCCATTAGGAAGGAGGAAGGACCGGCCGAAGTAAGTAAATCAGCTTAATGGCATAATCATTAAGCCGTAAACAAACAACAACATATAAAGGGGCTGTTTGATTGTGGCTTATTGAGCTTAATCGGCTGTATGGCTTATTCAGAAGTCATACAGAAGTGTTCGGTTATGGCTTAATGATCCGGCTAGTGGCTTATTAGGTCATCCAAGAAACAAGTGTTCTTACCATTCAGCCAATGTTTTCCCCTTTTACCCTTGTGAAAACACTGAGAGCATAAAAAGAACTCTCCTAAGAGTGGTAATGTAGACAGATTTATCAATAAAGCAGTTTTATCCATACAGATCTTAATGAAAAATTAACCAAACGGCCCCTAAATAAACAACCCTTCCTCTATCTACCATGATGCTACAAGTGAAGAGAAAAGCAAAAAATTTACACCAATCTCCTATGTTACTTCCGGACGACAATAAATCTATTACAACTTGTCTCCAAAAGATTGACTTCACTTCCTAAAAATGATTTGAAGTAGCAATAACATGAAAGTGTCATAAAGAGGTAAGACTGTTGGATGGCAACAGTTTACATCAAGGGTAACCAACTTTTGACTTACATATGTCAATTGCTCGATATTATAAATGGCCTAAATTTCCCTTATCATTTGATACATGACTTAATTTAAGTTAATGGAATGTAGAATAATTTTTTATCTAAAAATGGAACCAAATTAGCTATAAAACTACCTTGGTGAATTGTATTTGAAAGTCTTGTGGATGCCTATGTTACATGTACCCAAAAGTCCTACATTCATATCGTCTATCCATAAACTATTAATCTTTAAAAATTGGTCAGCAGAAAGAATATTTTAGCTTATGAAGTCTATCCATGAACTATTAGTAGTAGCAAGAGATCAAACGGTTATGTGGATCATCCGTTTCACAAAATATTAACAAACTCAGTTCTTGTTGTTCTAGTTATTAATGAACTTCAGATAATAGCATACCATATTCACAACATCTTGGCTGGATAGGAACTCAAATACGCCATCACTTGCAAGGACAAAAAATGGAATGTTGGCAGTGAGCTGAAATTCTTTTACTTCAGGAACAGCCACAACACCGATATGTTCTGCCAAACTATCTCCAATGCTACGTGTAAATGCAGTCCCAGGATACATTCCATTTGGCACCCACAACCGTGGTGGATCACTACCTTGGCTCTCTTCATCACCCCACGATTGGATAGTCTCATCTTTTAGCCCTTCAACTTGATCAACACTCAAAACCCTGGCCCCACAGAGCTTCACTCTCTCACATTCATCTTTCCTGTAAGGCGTTTGGTCAGAGGACAAATCCTCAGCAACAAGTTGATAATTACCCTCTTCCTTAACTGACATCACAGCTCTTGAATCACCCACATTAGCAACGAAAAGCCTATCACCAATGACAAGAGTCACAATTGCAGTTGTGCCACTCATAGAATCATCAATTTCTTGATTTGCATGAAGCTCATCGTTCGTAGTGGAGAATGCGGAGTTAAAAGCTACGGCAGGATCTTCCAACAATCTATCATCACTACAAAGGATCTCGATTAGCCTATTCTTGACAAAATTCGCACATTGTGTGCCAGATTGACCATGCCCATCAAAAACACCAAAGAAGTGAACATTGGGGTCACCTTGAATGTGGGTCTTGATACAGTAACAATCTTGATTCTCTTTATGAGGTGTATCAGGGTAATACCCACGTTGAGAAAGCACTGAATACTCCAAATAAAGATTGTGAGAAAGAATATGAACAACTTCTAATGGCTCAATTGCATGAATGTCCCCATTATCATCAGAAGAAGATGATGGGAATCTGCCACAACACTTGCAATTAACACAACCCATTATCAATATTAGTCTTTTTTCCTTATAATTGTGGTTACAACAGTTGAAACCAGATCAAACCCTTCACGAACACCAGCCGTCTGTAAAAAGTCCTAAGAGAAGCAGATGAAATCAACAACCAAATTGTACAAAAGGGTGTCACAGAAGACCAAAGAATCTTACATTAACGGATATAAAACATTAAAACAAACCCTAGAATCAAAACCTCCCGTCAAGTAGATGATATTGCTTAAGGCGATTGTGTTTGTTAAATAGAAGGGTCTCACTAAATTCTTTTTCTACTCCCATAGATTTAAATTCCTCTCCTTTCAAGGAGAGGAATAACCCAATCAACACGAAATGATCTTCAAAATGAGGATGTGATGGTGGAAAGGAAAATAAACCCAAAAAGGAGAAGAAACCCTTTAATCAAACCCCCAACATGCGAAGTAACAGAATAGAAAGTGCTTGGTAATGATTATGGAAAAGGTTTCCGTGTGGGGTCTATGAAAGAGAGATGGAGATCTTCAATCATGAAAAAGGAAGCAAACATTAAATGAAGTCTGTATCGAAAGAACAAGGAAACGATTATTAGGAAAAATTCAACACATAATTTCAAACCCTTTTTGCAGAAGGGGGTGGGAGGAGACAGCCGAGACACAAGAGGGAACGATGGGTCGTGTCTGCCGGCTGTTTCACACACAACTACTCGGTAATTGCCTAATTGGTATTTATGCATGGAGTTACCAAATCTCATTGTTTGGATTGAATTTCTTTTTTCCTCTTTAATTTTTTTTAGAGGAATACTTCCGACAAAATATTAAAAAAAGCAAAAAAAACTATACAACTGTTCTAGAAAAATATCCAAACACCAAACACACGACAAACAAAGCAGGTGATAATACCAAACGAAACTGTTATCAACGAGAACAAACATAAGAAAACAAAATAATGCAGCATGCTAAAAGTGAAGTGATGCACACAACCTGGCTCCACCAGAACCCCCAGAACTGAAAGGAGATCTTCCACCAGCTATTCTTATCGAACCACACCATGAGAAATCGCAACTTTCCCCATCTGATTGGCCTTCCACGCGATTCTAGCCATAACAACATTCTTAATCTCTAGAACAAGCTGGTCATTATTACGTTTCAAATTAGTTAAGATTCTCTGGTTCGACTCCTGCCAAACGAAATAAACCGAAACCGCCAAGTATAACTTCTGAGACAAGGTCCAAGGAGCTCCTCCACTATTAGAAAAAGCATGTAAGATATTTTCCCACATATCAGACACCCTAAGTCATATATGTCTCCCTCTTAATGATTGTCCAAACCTTTTTAGAAAACCCACAGTAAAAAAACAAATGATTATAGGAGTCTATACATGTGAACAAATCCAACATACCATTGTCGGGTGAAGGTTCTCACACTTTTGTTTATATTAAATTAGTTGTTGTACAAACACAACCAACTTCTCTCAACACTATCTCTCTTTATCAAGAATTAAGTATGGAAAAAGCTTCTAGTATTTGTACCTTCTCATATTACAATAAAGAGAGAATATGATGCATTTTAAAGGGATGCTGTCATCATCCTCACCTAAAAAGTTCATGACATTTGTAGTTACCTTGCAAACTAACTGTTATATTTAATAAATTATAAAACCATTTGTATGTCTTTGAACAGGAAATGGCCTGACTTAATTTCACAACACGCAGACGTAAGCTTATGAGATTGTTTTTGCATCAAGCTATGACCATTATTGCTTGGTTTTTCATCACGATTTGCACTTTAATAGCTGACTACGAAAGAGATAAACCACGTATTCGATACTCTTTGTCAAATATGGATCGAGCTTCATTATTGCATAGGTATGCTTATGAGAGTGACAGTATGTGCATATCACAACTTAGGATGAACAAAGGGCGTTTCAAAAAGTTATCTGATATGTTGGAAACATTAGGAGGATTACGAGCAAGTAGGCATATGGGTACTGATGAACAAGTTGTTATTTTCCTTCATATTATGGCTCATAATGTTAAATTCGAGTTATCACATGTCGTTTTATTGTTCGGGAGAAACAATCAGTAGACTATTTACTCGAGTTTGCAAATGCGGTGATAAGATTGCATTCATATTTGCTTAAAAAATCTGAACCCATTCAAGAGGATTCTACCGATGGATGGAAGTGGTTCAAGGTATATGGAATATCTATCTTTTTTGGTATTCACATGTAAGTAACTTAAAGTGTGTAATGACCATTTTTATTTTCTTGGTTTTAGAATTGTCTAGGAGCTTTAGATGGAACATATATAAAGTGCTTAGTGCCACTAGAAGACAAGGCTCGATACAGAACGAGAAAGAATGAAATTGCTACAAACGTGTTAGGGGTTTGTTCACAAGATATGCAATTTATTTATGTGTTACCCGGATGGGAGGGGTCAGCAGCCGATGGTAGAGTGCTTCGAGACGCTCTTCTTAGGCCACATGGGTTAAAGGTACCGAGACCATGTTATTACCTAGTAGATGCCAGATACACAAATGGTGAGGGTTTCCTTGCCCCATATAGAGGTCAAAGATATCATTTAAATGATTGGCGGGATTGATACCAACCAACCACGCCAAAAGAACTTTTTAACATGAGATATTCCTCTGCAAGAAATGTCATAGAAAGATGTTTTGGTATTTCAAAGGCAAGATGGGAAATTTTTAAAGATAACTCGTACTATCACGCTGAACTGAAAAACAAGATCAATAATAGCATGTTGTCTACTTCATAATCATATCAGGCGAGAAATGCCAAATGATCCATTTGAGAATGATAGGTTAGACGAAACAACCGCAGATGATGGAGAACAAGACGTGGATACTGTCAGTTTTGTTGGGACATCAACTGAGTGGACTGTATTTAGAAATAATTTGGCACAACATATGTTTGAGACTTGGAATGCTACGCACTGACCTTTTATGACTTGTAATGCTAGAAGTTTATCTTTATGGTATGTAATGAATTTGATACATATGTTGCATAATATTATGATTAATAATGCTACAACTTGATTTTATGATTTGCATGTTTATTTTACATGTTATTTGTTTATTATTTAATTTGTTTAACAATAGGTATGGCGGATCGATGTCGTAATAAAAACTATCGAAATTGGACAACTATTGAAGATGTCAAGCTTGTGGAGGCTTTGGTTAACATGGTTAATACCAGGGGATTTAAAGCTGATAACGGCTTTAAATGTGGATATTTACAGTATCTCGAAAAGGTATTAAAAAAATCAATTCTTAATTCTGGTATATTGGGTAAACCGCATATTGAGTCAAGAATTAAAACAATGAAAAAAGATTGGCAAGTGGTCCATGACATGGTGAATGGGACAAATACGAGTGGGTTTGGTTATGATTGTTTGAAACAATGTGTAATTGCCGAAGCACCAGTTTGGGAGTCTTACCTGAAGGTACCCATTATATATTTCATGCTATATTTGTAGTTATTATTTAATATCTTTGCTAATAAACTTTTATGACATGAAATAGATACATAAAGAGGCTACAAAATGGAAAAACAAGATATTTTCACATTTTGAAGACATGTCTATTGTTTTTGGAAAAGATAGAGCTCAAGGAAGTAGAGTTAGGGATGTTGTTGAAATGGAGGAGCAAATGAATCTAGAAGAACAACAATCAGAGGACACTAAAAGTAGCCATAATGTACATAATGCTACAGATATGCAAAGTGAAGAAGGTTCAAGTCGAAATGGTAAGAAGAGGAAAACCCGAGTTGAGACTCTTGTTGACAAAATGTATAGTGCAACTCTCTTACTTGAGAAAAATTTGAAAATGCATCTAAGAATATGGTAGATATGGAAATGGATATATGAAACAAGACTTCCATGGTGAATTCTGAACTTGCAAAAATGCAATCACTTTCTAGAGTGGAGAGGTTCATAGCAATCAAGAAGATAACAAGCGAGCTTGATAACCTGCTAATTTTTTGGAGTTTGGAAGAAAGGGAACGAGAGGAGTGGGTGAGGTTTGTGTTGGAAGGTTGATTTTGGTTATGATTTGACAACTTGAATTTGGGTTTTGGAAGTAAAGTATGTAGTTAATAGTTTCAGATGTTATCGGATCTTAGTAATTTGTAGTGAACAATTTCAGATATTAGTAATATAAGTGAACATTTTCAAATTTTATCTGATGTTAATAATGTAGTTTGGTTTAATGGTAATTTTAATTTTAAAGAAAAATGACAAAAAAATCATAAAAGGTCATTTGTTGATATTTAATTCTGATTCCAAAGTTGAATTCCGTGAACCAAATAAAAAAATTCCAATTCTGTAAAGAATTCCATTCCAATTTCATGCAACCAAACGCAATCACAAGGCATGGTCAAATTCCATTCAATTTCCTCAAAGTCAAATTCATTTGATGAATTTCAATTCCATCGAATTCCATTCTACGAACCAAACGTCCCTAAAAGGTTGTAAAATTTGTAATTTTCTTTCTTAAGAGAATTGTTATTTCTGTAATATTTTCAGTGATAATAAATCTATTTTTTTTAACTAGAAGCGTACTCGCGCAATGCAGCGAAATACATCGTGATTTTAATATTTCATTTTATTCTTTATCTCAATCGATGTTATAATAGGGCTTTTTGTGATTTTGAGAAAGCGATGATGTTTTTATTTTTGAATAAAATATATGTTCGAAGATATCATAAAAATTTGACAAAAATATATCAATATTAGTATCAAATTAACTATTTGAAATTCCTCATTTTTTGTGTAGTTTTTTAATTCAATTTTTTTATAATTTAATTTATGTACAATAACGAAGTAATTTATATTTGATTTAATAATATAATTTTTTTTA